AACATTAGAAGTTATTATCCAACATTGACTAGTTTGCACAATTCGCAGGTTGCACGACATTTAGCTAATAGTTATGGTGATCGTTCATGGGCTGTTGCTGCATTAGCACGTCCAACTGGCAAGAGTTCGCCAGCTTTTGGCTGCAGATTAAATCCACTATACCCATACATTGACGCAGAGGTTACTTATGCTGTCCGTCGAGAATATGCTTGTACTCTCGTGGTACGTATACCATGTTTGGTACATAACGTAATATTCGCAATTTTGTTTTTGAGCCACATTTTCTAATAATGTTCGTTTATCCGTCAGGATGTTATCGCGCGTCGTACTCGCCTGGCGTTTCTTGACGTTCAAGCAGCTCTTGAGTCGCTTCCGCATATCATTGAGATTATGAGCAAAGAGCTTGGATGGTCTTCAGAACGACAAAAAAGGGAATATAATCAGGCTGTTGAATTTCTTGTCACAATGGGTCTTCCTCGTCCAAAAGAACAAGGGAAATCTTAAAACATTTCTGCTTATAGGTATATTACCACAGATTTTCAGTCGGCACGGCTGTCTCCCGTAATGGTCATTATTTTCTGTTTCTATTAGATAATTAGAAAGTAATATGAATATTACATATATTTGTATAAGTTTAATGTTATAAAAAATTTTTAATAATTTAAAAAATGATAACTATTTGATTTCTTTACATACGTATTTTTTGAGGGTTTTTTTAAAGAAGAAAAAAAAAAACTAGCTAATTAAATTTATATTGTAAATATACAATTAAATCATATATGTTATGTTTTGCATCAGAATGAAATTTGCAAAGTTCGGTAGAATTTCGGACAATTACGGATTGGAACCGTTTAACCACATAAAATTTCTTCTGATGCCGGCTAAATTAAACAATATACTGTACCGCACTGATTAAAAATCTTTTATTATATCCTCACGTAAATTGCATTTTAAATTTACAAAAAAAAAAAAAAAAAAATTAGTATTTATCATAGAGTTATATGTTATTTATTGTTATATGGGGTTGAGTCAATAGAAACCAAGCAAATTTTTTTTAATGCTTTTTTTTTAAATTTTAAACAAGAATAATTTAACAAAAACTTAATCAAATTTGATAAATTTTTTTTTAAATTAATTATACAAGTTAGTAAAAATTATTTAAAAAATTTTTATTAAATTTGATTAAGTTTCTGTAAAGTTATTCTTGTTCAAAGTTATAAAAAATCTTTATTATAAAAAATTTGCTTGATTTCTATTGACTCAACCCCATATAGTGCAATATATTAGGGTGCTGACATTTATTAGGTAATATTTTAGGAGGTGGGGGGGGTAAAGCCAAACCTTACTTCAATATAATATTAAAATTTAATTGGTTAATAAAAATATTACCTGGGGAGGAGGGGGTAGAGCTCTATAGTAAATGAATATTAGGTAATAAATATCAGAGCTCTTATTAAAAGGTGTAATTTAACAAATTAACCAATTATAATTAAAATTGGTAATTATATAAAAATTTTTTTAAGTTAGTTTGTTGTTGATAAATTTTTGATAGTAGTGAGAGTTATATATAAAATTTTAATAATTGTTTATTTGAAAGTTTTATTTAAAAGTTTTTTAATATTTGTTATATTTAAAATTTATTTGTAGATAATTTTTAATTAGATTACTTGTAAATATAATTTTTAAAAAAATGCAAATTAATAATTTTTAGTTTGTTTATTTTTGTTTACTTTTTTTTAATTAGCATAAGTTTAAAATTTTTTGTTATAAATTGATGTTTAAAAATTTTTTGGTTTACTTATATCAATTAGAATTTGTAATTAGGTTTCTTGAATTTTTACTATTGTCTAATAGTTTATCTATCTTGATTTTTTTTATTGGTTTGTTTAGAAGATTTATTAATTTTTTTTTCTATATATCGGCAGTTTTATCAGTATTTTTATTAAATTAAAGTATATATACAAGGTATATTCAAACTATCTAAATTACAGATCTAACATTACTTATCTTTTTCTATAGATACCTAAGTGTAGTCTGCTTTATTGATTAAGGCTATTGACTGTACTGGAGGGTTATACCAAGCTAGCCTGAGAAATCATCACAAGATGGTTTCAAAACAAAAGAATTTCTAACTAAATTATATTGGCAATTTTCTCTTTCTAGACTATTTTTCTTTTTAAAACAAAGTTTTACATCTAATTTTCTAATAATAAACAAAATAACTTTCTCTTTTAATACCAGTTTATTTTCAAGATTCTTTTGTTTATACTTGTATTTTTTTTTTTTTCTTTCAATTTAATCTGTTCTTTTCAATTAGAGACTTGGCTCTTGGAAGTCTTCTCATATCCTTTTTTATAAACTTTTCTTCCTGTCTTAAAGCTTCGTATTTTCTTTTTTCTTGTTCTATAAGTTTCTTCTAGTAATATTCTTCTGTATATTCTTTCTTCTTCAAAGTATCTTGGGTTTTTTTTAGTTTCTTCATTTCTGCATCTTGGTTAATTTGGTTAAGTTTTTTCTTCCGTATTCTGATATGAGAGTCTTCTTTTTTCCTTTTCTTGGTCTTCTTTTTTTTCTTTTTCTTTCTAGAACTTGATTTTCTTTCCAAAAATTTTTCTTATATTTTGTTAAAGATCTCCTAATTTCTGAGATATTTTACAAAAATCTTTTCTAGTATCTTTAATAATATATCTTTTTTTTTCAATTTTTGATACTCTTTAATTTAGATACTAATGTGCTTTGAGACAAATTTGTATCTAAATTTTATTGGGATTTTAGCTCATTTATTTATTTTATAAGCAAGTTTTTCTTCTTCTTTTTCCATATTTTATTATTATATTGTAAATCTTTAATACTTGTTTGGTATATTACTTCTGTTTAACTATTCTT